TCTCTCTCTCTCTCTCAATATCCAACTACTCGAATCCTTTCTCTATTTTTCAATCCAACAAATCTTCACCTAAACTCACTTTGACAACCAATATCCAAACTTCATGTGATCCATGAAGCCTTCGATGATCTGATCATTGCTTACCTTTCCTGGCTTATTGTCTTGTACTCAGTCCTTCAATCATAAAAACTGCTTGTAGTTTACTAGGTTGCTTCTCATCAATCTATCTTCTTTTTCATGTACTCTCTATGCCTAGATGGCTGCCTTTCCAATCTCAGGAGCACATGCAGGTCTCCACCCATGAAACAAAAAGTAAATCTAAGTACACTGATTCTACAGGTTTTAAAACCTAAGAATCAACACAAAGTCTATCTCCCAGTAAAGGTTCTTAGGTGTAGGATGCATTTCTAGTCAAACATTCTACAGTGGAGCTTAAAGGCAGTAGTCATGCATGCTGGACCAAGAAAACAAGCAAACAAGCATCCTGGTATTCAGTTTCTTTAAACCACAACTTCTGTTTTCTAACTATTTTCAGTTCTTAAGTACCTGTTCTTGAGCATCTCTTCCAAAAGAATGGCTGCCAAAATTCTGCTTGATTTAGCATCCTCCTATGAGTCATCTGGAAGTGACTTGCCGAGATAAGTCTAGGAAGAAAGGGCGAAGAAGCCATGTAGGTGACCTACAGTAAAGTGCTGTTACTAGGAGCAGGCAGGGAGACCACAAGGTCAATCTTATTAAAAGAAATGTTCTGGACACATAATACATCAAAACATTGTTCACTTGGAAATCACAACTGCCATCCATACGGTGAATATGATACAAGGAAAGTATAACCAAGTCCAATATCAGGCTTCAGTTCACAAGATATTCAGGAACCCATAGACAAATGAGTATGAAAATGGATTGTGTAATAACTCAGGTTTCATATATTAATTTTTATAAGCTCATCACAAGAATCAAAGCTCTCTTGAGAGCTCAAGGGAAAGAAGACTTATCAGTGTATTATACTAATTAAGAAGAGTTTAAAGTTCAACTAAATTAAAATATGGCTCAGCTATTACCTCATCTGCCCTGATGTCTTCTCCATTTATTAAGATCACTAGTAGCCCAGTGCATGGATTGGT